TGAGTAAAGCTGCAGGTCATGTCGCTGACTTGTTCCCACAAAGACAGCAAAGGAGTTCAAAACAAACCTCCGAACTGGAGTTCCCAGCGAAGAGGAGGACGGCCCGGGTCGAAACTGAGACAGAAGAAGAAGCAAAACCAGAGAGAGTCACATGAGAGGAGAAGAGCACTAGTTGGCAGTCGCATTAAGTGGCTCAGAGCAACGATGGAATCAGACTGAAACTGAGTCTGAGCACGAGATCAGAGCAAAGACAATCAGCTGCACATGAAATCTGGCCGACGTGTTTCCTCTGCTGCCAAGATTTAAAAACAAGGAAAAGAGACGGTAAGACACATGATGATAGAAACGAGCAGACGTGCTGCAGACCCAGATTGTGGCCGGTTTTAACGTCCATCAGCCAGTTACAGCGTCTAGATGAGAGTCAACAGTGGAGCTCTGTGAGATGCTTTGGGCTGAAGGCTACGATACCTGATCTGCTTCCTGATGCATGCTCACAACAACAACAACGCTAACACGTTGGTGTGAGTGATGCTCACCAGGTTCACTGTCTGAGCTGAAGCTGTCCGCATGATTGATGATTAGCACTAAACACAAAGCACAACTCAGGAAACGTTAAAATCTGTGATAAACTATTGAAGTTTGATGGGCTTCATTGTGATGCTAGCAGCTGTGTGTGTGATATTATGTGATTTAAAGTCCAATTGTCGCATTAGTTGATTAAAAGCTAAATTCAAAGTGAGGTAATCTCATGAAATTGGCTCGATAACTTTTCTTCACCTTCAGTCCAGGATTTAGTCCGCCCCCTGCCTCAACATGCCTTTACAGCTTCAGACACCAGAGTAACTAGAATTCATCCTCTGGGAACATGAATATCTGGACAAATGCATCCTTCATATAATTGTTGAGGTTCTTCACCGTGGACCAAAGTGGTGGACAGACCAACACTTCCATCCTAAGAACCAAGCTGCCAGCGCAGCTAAAATATATTTAAAGCTAAATTACTCTGTCACAAGAACTCCAACAGTCTGGAAGTTTTAGGGTTGCAGCGTCCTCTGTGATGAAATTTTAAAAAGCCAGGACTTTAAACGATGCTTTTCTTGAGCTCGTACTAAATAGTGATTATCCCTGCTGGAAAAACTACGACTTAAAATCGAGAAAATGATTAAATAGGTCTGTTTTTTAACTAAAAAGTAGTATTTATGTCAGCCGACAGGATCTGAGACAGCATCCAGAGCATCACAGAGACCTCAGTCGGCCTCCGGCTGGAGCTCGAGAAATGATGAAAGAGCACACACAGCATGAAAGGATGAGGAGAAAGGAAGACTGTGGCTGTTGTCCAAGCAGTGAGGCCGAGTGTAAAACCAGGCACGGTCAACAATGGGGAAATTAGCTGTGCTGTAAAAAAAAAAAAAAAAGCACATCAGCAGCTTGAAAAGGTTGACGAGGGGAGGAAGAGGAGGAGAGGTTGCTGCCTTTGGCTTGCTTTTGTTTGGCCTGGTACAGATCACTACACTGATTGTAAGACGCTACCTGATAGCATGTTAGCGTGTGCTCAGGTGGAAGAGACAGAAGTAGACTCGCTTCAGCGCTGTTCTGACATAAAAACTAAGAAACATACATTTTTAATAATTTAAGGAGCCTCTGCGGCTAAAAGCAACCTCCTGCTATTGTTTTAATGTCAAAGATCATTTCAGGTGGCTGCTGTATTAAAACCTCCATGTGGTTTGTGACTCAGTCTGGAATTTATATTTTAAAAGTTGCGTCTTTTATTGCAGCATTTTAGGCTCAGCTTGAAAATCAGGAAGAAGCTTAACATGTAGATACCAACACAGTCCTGTGGAGGGCGCTGTTCCAGGTGAAACCTGCCACTCTTCCTATTGGTCATAGATGCTGCAGGCTCTACAGCACTTCAAAAAATATGCTTTAAGACCTTTCCTTAAGCGAGTTTCCTTTTGATTAAAAAGAAAGAAAGAAAGAAAGAAAGAAAGAAAGAAAGGCTATAAACAGCATTTTTACTGGATTCAATTTCAAACGTCTGCTGCAGAAAATTGTTTTCTAGATCCTAGCTTTAAAATACAGTTAAATAAAACAGTAAACAAAGTACAAAATAAAATAAAGCAAACCCTTTAAATTTAAAATGTTTTCTTGTTGATTTTAAAATACAGAAAAACATTTTGCCATACACAGAAGTATGAATAAAATGACATGTCAAATGTAAAATAACATTTAACATCTTTAAATAACAATAAGATTGTTTAAAGAAAACATTCAGAAAATTTATTGTAATTTCAGAAATATCTCCTTTATTTGTTTTATTTCAATTTAAGTCTAATACTGCAAATATATTTCTAAACTCATCGTGTATATAATTTAACATCATACCTATCAATCACTATTATTATTATACATTTTAGATAATTCCAACGTTTTAGGTAAATATCCTTCATCAAATGTGAAACACACAAAACAGTACACTGAGCTCATGTAAAACTGAGACTAGAAAATATATTTTAATTATGGAAATTTCCTGTAATCTTTGTCATAGTTATGTAGTTGTTTTATTGTTTATTTGTGCACCCAAGCTGCTGGAATATTACCTTTGTTCTTGATGGATGTGTCAGTGCAACATCTGCATTTCTGTTCATAAAGTTTATCGTTTGTCTTTTTTCCCCTAAAACAAAAAACAAGACGTTCAGCTCGTTTGGCCCCAAATACAACGAACACCACGACGGTGGAGGTACAACACTTTGTGCTTTTCTTTATCTGTCAATGACTTTTCATGAGTTATGAAACATCCAAAACATGAAATATTTTCTCATTTAGGTTAACATCAATGATTCATGTTAATTTCCACGAATTGTCAGCATCAAGTGTGCAGAGCTTGTTTAGTAAGGAGACGTTTCCTCCAGAAGTTCAAAGGAAGGAACAAAGAAAACAGTGGAGTTCACTGTGTTAATGCCGTTCCTGCTCCTGATGAGTTAAACTGACGTCAGGGAAACACCAGAGGTGAATTCATGCCAATCAGGAGGAACAGACATAAAAGCATATTCTTGTTTCCAGGCTGAGGCCGAACCCGAACCGAGCTGATAGCAGACTGCAGCTTAACAGCAGGAAGACGCCTGATTCCTATTTTACAAGGACAGATAAAACCCACAATGGCAGTAATGACATTCAAGCAACCTCCTGCAGTGCTGCTGTGTCGCATTTAGCTGCATACCACACTTTAAAGCATCCATCTCTGGTTATTTACAGTGAAAGGCTCGGATGACCTCCCTCGGGGCTCCTTCAGCCCGGCCTTGGGGACGCTAACAGAGACGGGAAGTCAACCAGCACCGAAGCAGCTGCCCAGAGCAAACTGTGCCTATTACAGCCACACGGCTGGTGATGCTCTTGTGCTATCTGAGCTGAACGCTGCAGCTCTGTGGAGCAGCTCCCTCCATAATAACACCCTTTTTTCTCTTCTTATCATAACAGCACTCCATCCATTTGTGTCAGCTCAGCATTTTAGCAGAAGCTTCTGCTCAGTCAGCAGAGGCAGAGAAAAATGAGGGGTCAGAAGATCAGCTGACCGGGAGCCTTGAAGCCATGTTGGGTTTCATGTGTTGTCACATGGGATTTAAGAGATGCAAAGGTTGGAACAGCATTGTGTCTTTCTGTCTACTCAGGATTATGTGCTATTGATTTGGCAGGATGCAGTGAGAGAGTCAGGCCGTCCTCTGACGTCTGCTCATTTATGGTGAACGTTTAGAACAAACCCGTTGTTGACATGCATCCAGTGCCAAATATTCTGTTTTAGGGGTTTTCAAGTGACGACATGAGTTACAAGAGCGTTCTGGTCCTCGTTCTTTACAAAGAGCTGACAAACAAATGCTTCAACATTAATGAAGGATCTGAAACCTGTTGTCATATTATCTGACATTTCTAAGGAGTTTCAAGACGGCTCGACTCCACACATCATTCTGCTGATTTCTGAACAAAGCACATATGATTCAGCCTCTTGTGTTGTTTCTGGTTGTGTTGCTTTAATACAAAAGCTCTAAATGCCAAACAGCCGAGTCCAGTTTCTAACTGTGGTTCAGTCGTTTCCATTGAGACTGCATTGCTCTGCACTTCCTCAGTGAGCAGGAAGTCCTCTGATGATGCTCTCAGCGGTTACGGCCTGTTTTACTTTCATTTCCTTGTAACCTTTGCTGCTCGTTTGTTTTGTGTATTTTTGGCCGTTTGCTTTTCGTTCCGTCTCTCTAGTTGCATCTCAGTTTCACAAATAATATCCTGGAAAACCTGTGAATAAAGATCTCAAAATCCATTTAACCCCTAAGCACTACCTCTGGGAATGTGGACCTCATCACAGAGCACCCAGCAGTTCTAGTAGAACCAGTGAGCCAGCAGTCTGGTACACTGCTGCCATCTAGTGGAGCTTTGGAGCTGAGGCCAACACACTCAGTGCAAGAGAACATCCATCCATCATCTCTACACTTTAATCCTCACGACGGGGGCGGAGCCTATCCCAGCTGACTCAGGGCGAAGGCAGGTTCACCTGGACAGGTAACCAGTCTATCACAGGGCTACACTTAGAGACAGACAACCAAGCACACTCACATTCACACCTACGGACAATTTACAATCACCAATTAACCTCAGCATGTTTCTGGACTGTGGGAGAAAGCCGGAGAACCCGGAGAGAACCCACGCTGCACGGGGAGAACATGGAGACTCCACGCAGGAAGATCCCGGGTGTCCTCACCGGGACGCCAACCGGCGACCTTCTAGCTTCTACCCTCTGCTCACCACCGAGGCACCGTGAGGCCACAATAGAAAATGAAATGACGAATATAGGATGCACACATTTACAAGATTATCACAACTAATGACATTCATACGGTGACGGGTTCGTTAGGCTTAACTGGCTGTGACACGTCTCGTGTGACAAAACCCTCGGAATCAATAAAATAGTTCTCATTCTGATAATTAGGTTTGTTAAAATACAGAAATCTCCAGAATGTTCTCCAGAAGTGAAATGTTTATTTCGAGCTTCCAAAAGTTCTACAGTTTAAAAAATTACCAGCATGTCTTTTTTCCTCCATCATCATCATCATCATCATCATCCGGTAGTCTTCTTTACCTACACTAATGTACACATGAACAATTTAAAAGGTATCAAAATCTAAAAATTTCCAGTTGTATCTGAAAAACAAGGCAACTGCACCTTTCTTCTCTTTACGATACTTTCGACAGATGTCATCTTTTATCGACAACATACAGCTTAGTGGCAACCTGGTAGGATTTTAAACGACACGTGCACACCGCAGACGCTTTAAATGTGAAAAGAACATGAAGTAAGAAAGATTTACCGATAGTAAAAACCTTCTGACATCACAGGAAACACAAAAACGTCTCAGAAAATATACTGTTTAAAGCCACTTCCTAAGTGAAGCTGCAGGAAGCCGATACTGGAGGTGGCTCTGGACATCCTCTAACATTAGACACTGATACTCACATAGTAAAATATGCCGTTAAAATGCAGCTTCAACAGGATAATGATCACTCAGAGCGCCACAATAGTCTTCAACCATTTCCAATTTGCGGCTCGAGTTAAATAAATACTTTGTGTGTTAGAAGGCATGAACAGTAAAAGACGCTTTAATCAAATCAAAGGTTGCCAGTGAGGGCTGAGTCCATGAGGTCATCATCCTCATTCCTCATATACATAGGACTGGGTCGGGATGGACGATCTGAACCGAGCATGGACAGCGAGGAGTCTGAAGCTGAGATGGGCGACCGTGACCAACTGTCTGCTTTCATTGGATGCGAGGACGGCCCCATGGACATGGAGGACTTCTTCTTCTCTTTATCCCTGTCTCGGTCTCGATCTCTGTCCCTCTCCCTTTCTCTCTCTTTCTGCTTCTTCTTCTCCTTCTTGTGTTTCTTGTGTTTCTCCCCCGAGCTGAGTGGGATCGAGCTCATGTAGTCCTGGGGAGGAAGGGGGCGCATGGTCTGGTCGTCGTCTGAGCTCGGGCTGTTCTGGTGGGACTTCTCGGCCACCGAGCTGCTGCCCGACTCGCTCTCGCTGTCGTGGTTGAGCGGGGTGTACCCTGGCGAGCGGCTGTGGCTGGGGGAGGAGCGGTCGTGCTTGGGAGTGGAGCCGCTGAAGAGGGGGGAGGCTTTGAGGCTAGAAATCTGGGGGCGCATGGAGTCACCAGATCCTTCTCCTGCTTTCTGGAGGGTGACTTTAGCCTTGATGCTTGGTGAGCCACCATCTGGTTTGCTGATGATAATTTTGGCCAGAGTGGTTCCACCCACCCCACCAGATTTTTGGTCCATCAGCTTTTTGTCTCCACTGTTTCCCCCCGACACTGACACCTTTGCTTTAGCCTCTTTATCAGACTTTTCTCGCTTGTACTCCCCACTTTGGGAGGATGAGGCATGCTTGGAAGAGCCCATGTTTGAAGGTCCACCGGGAACACTTCCAGGACCACCACCAGGAGCAGAAGACGAACCAGCTCCCCCTGCTGGTGGCCCAACCTCACAACCATCCTCCCCGACTCCTCCTCCCCCTACACTCTTCAGCTTGTCTATGACTGCTGTTAGAGAGGGCTTCTTGTTTCGACTGGGAGACTTCCCTTTGGCATTGGGGTTATTTGAGTTGTTCTGACCAGCTCCTCCGCTACTTCCACCTCCACCCCCACTTCCGCCACCTCCTCCGCCACTTCCACTCCCTCCACCTGTTCCTCCTCCCCCTCCACTTCCACCTCCACCACCGCCATACTGAGACTGGGAGCCTCCTGAGAAGCCCATGGAACCAGAGGATGAGGAGGAGCTGGAGGACGATGAGGAAGATGTGGAGCCAGAGGAAGAGCCTCCACCAATTGGCTTCTGAGAGCTCATACCTCCACTAGAAGAAGACTTGGACCCACCAGAGCTGCCACCGCCCGAGCCCATTGGAGATTTAGCCTTGGAAGAGGGAGGAGTTCCTGGAACCTGGGACTGCTGCATTTTCATTGGGGAGGACAACTTGTCACCAGAACTACTGGAGCGAGAATGGGAAGGGGAGATGTTGGGCTTAATGTTGGGATTCATAAGCGACCCAGGAGGCTTGCCTCCCTGCGGCTTAATTTTATTACCACTTCCAATTCCACCTCCAGTTCCTCCAGGACCAGAGAGCCCATGTTTGGTGATTGGGGAGGATCCGGGTTTGCCAACACCCATTCCCTGGGAGGACCCTTTAGACTGGGAAGGCCCACCTCCACCTCCTGCACTCCCAGGCTTGGAGCTGTTGCCTTGTGTCATAGAGCCTTCCTTGGACTTAATCTTTCCTGAGGAAGATGAGTGCGAATGATGACTTTTGCTGCTGCTGGTTCCTCCTGCTCCTCCTGTGCTGCTTGTAGCTGAGCTGCTGGAGGTGTATCCACTGTGAGATGAGGTTTTCCCTCCAGTTATGGTCCCCTTTGGGATCTGAATAGTGATTTTGGGAATTGGAGGTGTGGCCCCTCCAGGGGGGGTTTGCGAGCGTCCTGAACTACCAGGAGACTTGGAGCCTCCTCCACTTATGCTTCCCCCAGAGCCTGAGCCACCACTAGGAGGTGTATAAGGTCGGCCCCCTGAGCTGTGAGACGGAGACTTCCCATCAGGATCCAGCTTCTTGCGTTTTGGGGGCTTATCCTTGGACTTTCCCTCACTGGATGGGGTTCTGCTACGTTTGACCTGTTTGCTCTCTGTTGAGCTGCTTCCCATTCCAATTCCAGAGCTGCTTCCGCTGCCCCCATTCTCGTCCTTTGGCCTCATGGGGCCCTGTGGTTTAACTTTGGGTTCTGCACTTTTAAAATCCCCACAAGCTGCTGCGAGGCTCATCATGAGTGGGCTTTGGGACCCTCCACCATGTGTGTCTCCCAAATCAGGAGCCTGCCCCAGAAGCGGTTTACCACTACCACCTCCAAAAATCCCCATATCAAAAGGGTCCTTCAGCGAGGGCTCTGGGGTGCTCTGTCCATGTGGAGTAGGATTCTGAGGTGTTCCTGATGGGGTATTCTGCTGGCTACTTCCTCCAAAACCCTTCACCAGGTCTATGTCTCCATCAGCACTTGGAGAACTGTCATCAAAGTAGCTTTGGGAGAAACCATGGCCTGAGGACAGGAGGTCAGGGTTGAAGTCAGCAGCATCAGGAAAGAAGTTGGTGGAAGAGGAGTCACTTGTGGGAGTGGCGGCAGTTGCAGCTGCCTCAGCAATCAGGTCAGCAGCATCTGTGAAAGGATTCTCATTGCTGTTGGTATTGAAAATGTCTGCTGAGTCAAATACTGCACTGCCCTGGCCTGAGCTGGAGGAGTCACGGATGGGGGTACCTAGGGGACCTCCATCGTCTCCACCACTGCCCATGGGGTGCTGCCCATGGCTGCTACTGCTGCCTTTGCCGGTCTGCTCAGGTAAATCTGACAAGATTTCTGTGATATCAGGTCCAATGCTGTCAGAGCTAGAGAGACGACCCATACGAGGTGGTACAGTACCAGGTGGCTGCTGTTGCTGAGACTGGACATGAGATTGTGAATAAGGCATGCTGGGGCCAGAAGGTGGTGTTCCACACTGGCTCGGTGCTGGAGTGATGCTATGAGGTGTGTCTAGGCCATCACCTGTCAGGTTAACATCAAAGATAGAATTTTGAGATGCGTCCACATCCATAGAAAGGAGCTCACGATGGAAATCATCCTCATGAGTGACTGGATGGTGCTGGTGGTGCTGTGGCATGGAGGACGTCTGTTGGGATTTCATGCCTAACCCACCACCTCCACCAGCTGCAGCATTTCCAGGCAACACGCCACCCTTTTCTGTTCCCCTCGGGCGCTTCTTCTTTCCCTTTACGTTTCCGGGGCAAGCTCCAGCTATGCCTTCTGTCCGTGGAGAACCAGATGAAGAATTCTGTCTCTCTAAAGGACTGGAGCCATACAGTGTCGCAAAATCTTGTGTCGGGTTGTCTTTCAACAAGTTCATCAACATGGGATGGTTCTTGGTATTGCTGGCAGGAGAGGATGTTGGGGGTGGAGTCTGGTGGGGTGGCGGTGCATTCTGGGAGCTCGGACTAGAACCCACACTTCCAGTTATCTGTAGTAGACTTGTCAGTATGGGATTCTGCGTGACTTTGCTGTAGTCATCCGAGTGGCCTTGACCTTGCTGTTGTTGCTGGTGTTGTTGCTGCAGCTGTTGCTGGCCAGCCACTCCTCCTGGGGTTAGGCACTCTCCACCTTGGGCTTGCCTTTCTGTTCGGGACATCCCAAACAGAGAGACAATTGGACCTGTATAATTAGGTCCCCCTGGGGGTCCTCCTCCAGTAGGTGTGTTGCCCCCTGTGAGGCCAGGGAGTCCCATAAGGTTAGTTCCATCACCAGCTGCCATGTTATAGGTAGGACTACCAGAGGGTGGCAGGTTGTTCTTCACCATGATCTCCACTGTCTGTGCAATTAACGAGAGGGCTGGAGTGTCTGCCTGGATGGTCTCTGCTTTCCTTCGAATGGCCCTCATGGTGACTGGGATGGACATGCATCTAAGAGTGGAGGACAAAAATCAGCACCAAAAACACATCGTCCACATTTATACTCTCAGTAGAAACTAACAATCTCACCTTTGGACTACCTTGGTGATGAATTCATCCGTGCAGATCAAAGCATCCGACAGTCCTTTGTATAGCTTGCAGGATACCTGTCTGGAGTCAATCACCTCCATCACCACTAGAGGAAAGAAGTCAGAGAGGACAGAGGACTTAGAAAAACAAATCCCTCTCACTGTCACTCTGTTAAATGAGAGCAGCACATCAACTGCAGACTGCGACTGTAATAATCATGCAGGCAGCCAAACACTAAAAGTGTCATGTGGCTCCCCACTGACAGGCCTTCAGGTGATGACCGCATGCAACTAAACAACAATACAGTAATGACTGTCAAGTCTGCAGCAAAAGGCTCACATATGCATGGGAATTTGATAGTGCGCAAATGTGAAGTGATTTTTGGAAGCATTTTTGCCATAATTTTCCAGTGAAGAAGGGGCAGATGGGAAAAACAGGGAGTAGGGGCATGACCAGCATCACAGACACCTGGCTGAACCACAGCTAGGGATGTTGTGGATATCTGCTGAATGTAGACAAAGGGCAGTTCATATTAGCTGTCCCTACCCAATATGAATTCTTTGAAAATTAGTAACAAGCCAAAACGACACTGCAAGTTTGTTTGGGAGACAGGCTTTGACGTATGATGATAGAAAATCAGCCTCACTCTGTAACATCACTGGACAAATACATTCACACACACCAACATCTGTGTCACCTTCTCAACTCACACGTTTCAACTCGATCATTTAGTAACTTTCAAAAATGTAGGAGAATTGAGAGCTCACCACAGACTAATGACTCGTTGACTGGATGCTGGAAAGAGACGCTAAAACTTGAGTCAGTAAGAGGACAGACTTCAAACTGCAGCAAGCCTGCACTGTCTGAAAGAACGAGAACAAAGATGCTCAGCTCGTCATATGTAAAACAGAGTATAGGTTACCTGACTAAATGCAGAAATCAGAGGCCAGATACCAACCTTCTTTGACGGAGGTTCGTTTGACACAGCTGCCAATCAAGGTATTATAGGCAGCCTGGTGCCGAATGATATCCAACAGTAGTGGCACTTGTGCTGGGTGACGGAAGGGGATTTTGGACACCAGAGCTCCTTGAAGAGAGCGGCCATCTTGCACGGGGGCATCACCGTTCAGAAAATAACAGTGCTGCTGATCTGGCAACACCTGTGAAAGCATACGAGTGTTTTTCTTACACTGGATTGTGCTAAAATCTTTTTTTTGTATTGGCTTTTTTAAAAATCTTTTGAAACCTCCAATTTCATTGTACAATGACAAAGAAATTTACATTTTGCAAAATCTCTGTTGTATAATTAAAACATGACAGCAGAGAAAACAAAAGACCTTGTCAATCAGAACATGTCAAACAAAAAGCCATATGTGGGGAGTTGCTGGTAACCTGAATGAGGGACACGGTGCTAAAATGTAAGATCAGTTTGGTAATAAACCCAATGAATGGACAATAAATACAGCAATGTTAATGACTTGATGTTCTCAGTTCCTATAGGTGACCAAAACTGCGAGCAACGAGAATAAGTAAAGACTTAAACGTTGACGCTGGATGGATCACACACACTGATGGACGAAGAATAAAAGCAAAGCAGAAAGATGCCAGACTCACGACACATTATTGCTGTGTGTGGAAGTACTGTGTGTGCTGCTCACAGAATAAAAGTGCATGTTGTGTGAGGGCGGCGGCATGGAGCTGCCCTCTTCCAGGAGCTGAAGCTGGCTCTGGACAACTAACTGGTAGAGAGGTGAGAGGCTGGGTGAGGTCTCAAACACTGGGATCGCTGGGGAAAAGGAGAGAGGTGTAAATCAGAAATATCAAACAACACAACCCTCATCGTTTCAATGCATGGCAACACTCATGCTGCCTGTTCATGAGGTAAACTCACAAGTGGCATTGCCCATCCTCTGAATGAAGGAGAGGGAGAAAGGCATGGGCCGGTTCATCTTCAGGAAAAAACAAGCTGGCAAGTCCACGCAGTTGGAGTTGGTCACAGTGGAAAAGGAAGGCGTCCTAAATACACAAAAACAAATCTATCAGCTGTTCCTATAGTCTACTTGCTCTGCACTGGGACGCTAACATAACCCCAGAGGATTGCCTCGCTACGCCAAACACTGGGGCTTTATGAGCATTCACTCTAATTCCCAGCTCTTGTTTGCCTACTAGCATTTTTAAAATGATTTTGAACAGATTCAGTGGCTGTGGATCGTAGGACTGTAAAAACTCAGACGAAGTGAAGTACGCCCTCTTACCCCTTGTTGTCAACTGGGTGGGATCCAGTGATGAGCGGAGCGATGGGAAGCTTGTAAACAGCAGACGTTCCCTCGATGGTCACAGAAACACTGACACCCAGAGAGCGCGGCACTGCAACAACCATATAAAACAAATAGAAATAAATATAGATCACATAAGTCAAATCATCAGAAGCTGCTCATCGATGTCCTGCATGCACTTGCCATTGTTGTCTGTTAAGTTGAGCTGTGTGCCCGTTCCCTCTTCAAATATGTCATAAGGGGACACGTAGCACTGAAGAGAAACCAGATGGCCACCACTCCTGGCTGTCAGCAAGCCCACACTTCCATGAAGAATAGTTTCCACTGTATTAGCATTGGTTGCTAACCTGGAAAACATACAACACAAGCTACTGCATCACAAAGACAGGTGATCAAATTTGGACTTTTACTCCTAATTCATGTATTTATTAGAGTACAATTAATATAGTATAGTATTAGCAAATGTATATATTTTAAGGCTGCTGATTGATCACTCAGGGATACATTCTGTGCTATTACTGCTATAGAAGTAAGAGTTTTTGGGAACTTACCGAAACATGTGCATCATCTTGGTGAGATCAAGCTCCAAAGACTGCAGCGCGATATACATCTTGGTTTTCAGCTTACTGGAACACAGAAATTAAGAAGGATAATTAGATGTAACGGCAACAAACACAATACTCATTAGGACATATGGCATCCGTCCTTATAAATCAACTGTCTTCAATCATGGCTTCTGGCATTCTGTGTTTTCACTTTTCTAAATATTCCCAATAAGCCTGTTTTATTCATTTTAAAGTATTTTTGGCTTTATAGAAAAGTATGAATTCAGAACTCTATGTCAATAATGCTCAGTGAATCCACTTTAGATTAACAACAACAATTAATAGAGAGCAATCATCTGTGGAAAATAAAATGTTGCTCGAACCAGACATCCTCAAAGCCTACAAGTCTACTTACTTGTCCCCGGGAAGCTTGTATAAATCAACAAGGCCCTTAAGATGTTTGGAAAATTCCTCAAAGTTCTTTTCTCTGATGAATAGAAAAAATGTTTAGAGAGCTGTCAAACCAGTTATGTGGTTATTTGTTTGCTGCCTACTTCTATCCATGGAACAGAAATGATGACAAACACTGCACTTATCTTACAGTACAGTGAAGGGCGGTTGTTTCTACTCACCTTAGATGCTGAATGAGCTCAGGACAACTCTGTGACCAACAAATCGAGAAAAAAATATTATTCATCTTCACCAAAGTGCATCGATACAAATGACACAAAAGAACGCAGAGCATCTGAAGACATTTTAAAACCATAGACGTGTACAATTCATAACAGTGACCAGTCTTATTGAAATCATCTCATGGAGCCACATGGAAGCTGTCCTGACCGTAGGGTTCTCTCCCTGATGGGCCACCTTGACGTCCACTAGCTGGCCACCGGAGTCCAGCTGCACCTCCACATAGAACATGTCTGATGTGATGTAGCACTCCGTCCCTGATGGGCTCAGGTGAGAGCCCAACCTGCACAGGTAAGACGACAGCAGAAAGAGAAACCACTTCAATTGTTCTGTATCCTTGTACCCTGTTCTACTTCAGTTCATTTATAACTGGTTTTCAAATAAGAAGTAATCTCATCTCATAATGAACTGGTAGATGAAAAACGGTAAATGGCAATGTTTTGTATGTAGCCCCATCAGTCATTTAAAACCTCATTCTCAGCTCGATAGGAAAAAAATATAATCATCAAACTGAACGTCTTTCAGCCTTGATCTTCCTCTATTTCCAGAACTTAACCTTACCCGCTGAATCAGGAGACTGAGAGAATAAATATGAGCAGAAAGTGACAAACTCACATGTTTTGCCGAGCAATGGATTCTAGCCGATCTGTCATGGAGGGCAGAGATGACACTGAGAGAGAAGGCAGAGAAGAACAGGAGATTTATAATGTGACAATGTCAGACATGCCTGCATGCATGACGCTCAAAGCAAAAGACATGTCAGTTAGCAGGGAGAAGGAAAGCTGTGGTTTACCAGCACCACTGAAATGTTTAACAGTTTATTTCTTACTGAATAAAGGTATATTTCCCCTATCGAATGATGGACAGTTACATCTTCTACCCAAAAGGCTGCCTTGCTGTCCTCTGCGTTACCTTTCAGCGCTCTCTGCAGCGTCTCCAAGCAGGTGAGCAGGAGCTGGTGACCTGCTGCATTCATCGCACCACGTTTCTCCTGGGACACATTTAAGGAAAAACACAGAAAAAGCTTGAACAACAGGATCTGTTCAGGTTTGTTTTTCTCTGGCTAAGTCAGCACAACAGCTCTGACATTTAAATATCACCATTATAACTCCTCTGGTCCACGAGGTAAGCTATTCTAATAAGAACTTGTTTTTGCAATTACATGATTAATGGCCATAAGTTTTTACCGACTGCGTTGGTTGCTTGAGAATACTAGTTGTGACCTGAAGGGGTACTGTACAGAAACACAGACAAAGGGATGGCAGTGCTACGTCATTACTGTGTGTGCTAATGGCATTTTTAAAGTCCTTCTGAAATTGCTAGAGTAAATTGGTGTACAGAATAAATTATAGGGCTTCCCCCACAGAGTGGCTGAGTAGAATCATCAGTCTGAAGAATCCCCATTCAAGTTTGTAAGTCATGAAAACAAACTGTGTATTTGTTGCAGAGCCTGGGTTGGGCCACTAGGTGGAGCCTCTTACTGTTTAATGAGATAAGAGTTACAGGTGTGACTGCTGCTCATCCACAGGGACTGCACGAACTGTAAATCAAGCGCTACAGCCTGAAGTCTAGTGAAAGAAAAAGGAATCGTCTGCCTGGCTCTGCTAAAATCCCTCTGACTCTGTCTGGTGGCTGCTGGGTTAGCTAGCAAGCTGAAAGTCATGCAATGCCAGTTGGATGTGGCTCACTACCGCAGGGCAGGAGCTGAGCATCAGACAGCTGAGAGCAGTGCTATAGCTGTGGTCCTGACAACCAAGACAAATGCAAAGTAAAACAAAGGGCATGACTCTTCCCTGCCTTGAGTACGAACACATTTTAGTGGCAGTGTAGCACTGGCGCTGGTAAACTGTCTAAAATGACAACACTTGTGCATCCCAAGCACATCTGCAGCAGCTGTGCAGCAGTTCAACTGACATGAACTACAGTGAACATATTCCTCCCACTGTGTCCATAAGGTACGACCGCTACTCCAGAGCCAATAAGCCATACGTTCTTTAAGCACAGTGGGCAAAACAACAACAACAACAACAACAACAAAGTGTTATTACTCTACGGATCAACGTCCAGTGTGTATTATTCATTGTATTCATTAATTGACTTCTGATTATTATTGTGTGGGACTTTGAATATCACTCCAGTGGACTCAGTGGTTCTGTAGGCCCATAGTGGCTACAACAGAGTGAGGAGTCTTCGCTTCTCGATTCCTGACTCAGGTTAAAGATTAAAATGTTTAGTTAAACAAAAAGCATATTGTTTTCAACCTGTGGAAGTTTGCAGGCCATCCAAACTACTCTGTACCCATACTGACGTGTGTGTGTGTCCCAAGCCCTCTCTACTGTCTGTTAAGTTTTGTTTTTCAGTTTCAGGTTGGAGCTAAACATATGAGGAGCATTCAGTCTGATCTGTGAGTATAACAGGGTGGCGTGTCAATCAGCCACCAGGCCCCTCGCTACTGATCTCACACCTTCAGGCAATTTTAGATGTTTAAACCTGTCACAGACATTTTGTAGATTCCCACAACCTTTCTACAGTAAGCTGTCTCTGTCTCACCATGGCCTGACGAACAACCTTGCAGGTCTCTTGCCATGGCCGGGAAGCATTGTGTTTCGCATGAAGCCTCTCAAGCAGGGCGGCCATGCGAGTCTGCTTCTCTGCCTCTGAAAAAATTACAAAATACATTAAACAAAGAAATGCAATTTGTGCACAGATACTGTTTTAAAGATACTGACACGTAAACTTGGGAAACGTAAAGGCCACATGCTGGTTCCTTTGACTTTAGGTTTCACCAAATGTGAAATTAAATACAAGCCCAACCCTACATCACATTATTTATCTTTGCATTTGACATTTACTGGATTCGGCCACCTACCAAACATCTCTCATGAAGATCTAATTAGGAAACAACACCACAACTGGAACTGACTAACAACAACTCTTTGTAATGAGGACTTTCTGTCTGGGATAAATATAAATGAGCTGCAGCCAGTGACCAACAATTACACATGTATGTAACAGATGCATACAAGAACAAGAAAAGGTTCCTGCTGTTTCTGTTGGAACATTTAGCTGTAGACAAAAGACACTCAGTTTACTGTTAAAACACTGTGTAGTGATTTAAATAATGTGATGGAGCATTACCACATGAGATGCTATGAAAGGCTTGACGGCCACACAAACAGGACAGCATGAAACAATAAAAGCACGGACACAACAGCTGATGTCTCGGGTCAGACGAGCTGCATCACGTATATTCAGAATTGCAGCCTTTGTATTTGCTAACTGCCCTTTTTTCAAATTCCAGTTTTGTTTATTTGACACCAATCAACAGCCGCAGTCGGGATGCGAAATGACAAAAACACTTTTCTTGTATGAATGCAACAGAGTTCAGCGACACTAAAAACTTCCTCCAAAATGATTTGTTCAGTTAATTGACATCTGTGTAAAACTCTTGAAAGAACTGAGCATTAAAGTATGATGTGTTTAAGGACTGCTGTGTTACTGCTCAGATGTACTGATGAACATGCGGCTGAAAGTGGACAAATATTTGGTTTCTAACCTATTTTCCATATGTGAAAGTACACCTTTGTAAACTAGTGCAAGTTGGTATTTGTAGTGAATTTTCCAAAGTCATGGAAACTAAATGTAGAGCTCATCAGCCACGCATTGGTTTTAAATGAAAGCAAAACCAAAACACGTCTCCTCCTGAAGCTACACTTCACATGAATGTTTATCTTTCGTAGGTGTTAAGTATGATTAGCTGTCGGACTAGGAAGACATGCCATTACTCTGAACACCAGAAAGTCACACAACATCCCCTAAAACACAGCAAGAAAGGACTGCATGCGCTTGTCAGTCTGTCCAGAAGGATGAAAGGTGCTAGCACCGGCTAACGCTATCATAACGTGTCATAAAGTGCTCTACATTACTGCAGCTTGTTAGTTCATACTGGCTAGGTGGCCAGTCTAGTATTTCCTGTCCTAAAACAATAAATATGAGCAACTTGCGTGGTGCCAGTGGTTTACTTCCAGAGACCTTTGTGATGTGGCTGCCCACCACTGGTGTCTCCACAAAGTTGACGTTAGCAAGTTGCTAACGTTAGCCAAAGAGCTGCCCAACCTCGCCGCTAACAGCGTATTCAATTTAAATAACTTGGGCTTCACTGCTCGATGTTATTGTGATTTAACGTCGCCCAATGAGAAATATTTTTTGTCGAGGACGTGCACAAGAATCAGTCGTTAGCGTTGCTCGGTTGGCTAACTTAGCCGCTAGCCCCCATTAGCCCGAGTCGCCTGGTGCAGCAGCCCAGACCACAATAACAACAGAAATCAGTAAAACCAACCAAAAGTAAAGCTGTGGGTCGGGTTCTTACCTGTCACCTCTTCGGTTTTGACCCGTTCTCCATGAGTCTGATTTCCTCCTGGCTGTACGGAGACAGAAAGTTCCCTCGCTGGACTGCCGCTCTGCATAGCGACACCAGGCCCCGCCGCCATTGTCGCCCCTGGTGCCCGTTTCAGTTTCCCCGCTTCGACTTCTCCGCTTCCCCTCCCGGGCTTCCGTACCGTCCGTGCCGCCAGAATCGCCAGAACCGCGGGCAGGTGACACACCGCGTTTTTCTTGTTGGTAAGTTTCCATCAGAAACTTTTATCTAAGTACCATGTTGTGCAGTTTTAAAGTGCCTTGCATCTAATTTACATGGACCCTTAAAAGAAGTCAGAACAGGTCGTGATTATTCCAGTTTTTTTTTACGTTTTCACAATTGTTTCTGATTATTTATCAACGTTTGAGGGGGAAAAAACATGCTGGTTTTAATATCTTCCAACCCAAATCTCTCGACTCGTCTGCTAGAAATTAAAGACAGTGGCCTGATGAATACTCCAGATGGCGTCCTATCGCTGCAAGTAAATGATTTATGATTTGCCAAGAGCAACTAACCGCCAAAATCCAAAGGAAGGTTGAAATCATCATGTTAATCGACTTCAAAAATAGAACAATGCAGCACCTTGATACGAGGATGGTTTTTTTCTTATTATTACAATTTGTTCTTTTATAGCCTCCTTTATAAAGCAGTCACATGAAGCAATGTGCTGTCCAATTAAGCTGCAGATTTAAATTTAAAAAAACATGTAAACAGCAAAAGCAGCCATGCCTTGCGCACACACACACACACACACACACACACACACACACACAGACACACACACCTGAGCCTTTTGTACAGCTGAGCCTGTGGCAGTGAGAGCTCTCTGGGGAGGATTTTCCCACCAACCATTATGACCTGCCTGAGAGAGGGAGCAGGGAGTGTGTGCATGAATACATGTGCATTTGTGCATATGCAAAGATATATTTGTGAACATGTGAAAAAAAAACCCAGCAACACACACACAGGAGATAGCTATAGACAGCAACAGAGATGGAGAGGAACCAGATTGGCATCGTCTGAGATAGTAGACAGACCCACAGATAGACATGAGAAAAGAGGGGAGGTGCCGCTATGTAATTGATGTGCCCACCAGGAGCTTTAGCTGGCTGCCTGGCATGGAAGAGGAGGTGGGCACTGCTGCCAAGACAGCAGTAGGAGAAAGGAAAAGGAGGCACGGGCCTTAGGGAGCACAGTAGCGGGCTGAAACCATGCCCATCAATCAGAGGCTAGTTCACCTTGCCATGCCAAGCGGGACCCCCCTCTGTGCCGAGGGATGGCGTGGCACAGGGAGTGAGGCTGGCACAGTTACTAAACCTTCCCTAATCCTCCTGGTGGGTGTATCAGTGCCACGTCCGAATGGCAGCAGAGTGGGCCGAGCCAGACACGAGGGGGAAAAAAGAGAAAGTTCAGCCCCTGTGCTAAGAAATGTTTCACTGCATGTTGTTAACATGGTGTTGAAATGTTCTTATTGTTCCAACCGCACCGACAGTGAATGCCACGGCGTTTCAAAAAAGAATAAAGTAAGAATCAGAAAAGGTTTGTTGCCAAGTAGGTTTTCACATACAAGGACTTGGTGTTTTCATGCATGGTGAAGAAATAAGGTGTAGATTAGTATTAGAGCTGTCACACTGTTTGGAAATGTGCCCATGTTAGCCCGGACTCTGGTCCCCTCTCTGGTTTTACCTGATCCATCACATTTGGTGGTGGATACTGCATATGTTTGTATATATTTTATTATTATACTACATTTTTACAAAATTTGATTACGTATGCTAAATTAACACTGACAATGGCTGATAATGTAGCACAGCTTCCACTGGAAGTCTTGAAAATGGCAAATTTGCATTAGAAAACAATATACACGCTTGTCACCATGTATACATCGTCCCATACGATACTGAGCAAAAGTGTAACGCACGTTAGACGTTTTGATCCTTCTCCATCACACAGTACCGCCATTCACTAGATCCCGTTATTTATTAGGCATGGCAACGACCCCAAACATGCAACCACAGTCGTGAAAAACTATCTTCAGCAACAAGAAGAACATGGAGTCCTGCAACAGATGGTATGGCCCCCACAGAGCCCTGGTCTCAACATCATTGAGTCATTCTGGGATCACATGAAGAGACACAAGCCAGTGAGACAGACTAAATCCACAGAAGATACTTGAAACACTGTGTGCAAATGCACTCTGACGAGTCGATGCTAATTTAACGGCACGTAGTGTATAGCTGCACAAAGTACTGCTGGGATTTCTCCAGTTTGTGTAAAGGTAACGGATCAGCTGTTCAAGTCAAAGCCATTCAGTCTCTGATTTTTTTCTGCACAGCACTGTGTATACCTGCATAAATATACGCACATTTACATACATGCTTGCATACACCTACATATAAACACTATATGGTGGATGGTGAGTTTGTTTTGTATGCAAACACATACATAGTTTGCACAGATACGTATATATTCCAGTATAGATAAGACAAACAACACCGTACTCTTTATTCCTGCCTTGCCTATATGTTCAGTGTTGAGTATGATGAAGGTGTAACAGCCTTTTTTCCTTATTTGATTTCCGCTGCATGTTTCCAGTTTGAGCACAGGGGATGAAGATGTGTGAACAGCTTGGCAACCCTATTGAGTGCTTTGAAGTTGAATACCCTCCTTTTTTTTCAGTCCCTCTAGGTGAACTCGCATTTTACCTGCTGTGAATAAAGATAAACTACTTGATGCATACATGCCTGCTTGACAATACGTGGCCACCAGACAAATTAAGCAGACAATGCAATCAACAGCGTTTCTATGGTTTTGGTGGATGGTTTTCGAGGCAGTCTTATTAAGATGCTCTTGTACCAATGTGCCAGACAAAAGGAATCAGCTGAGCCTTTTTGCTTTCACCTATCATACAAGTTTGAGATCAGTGAGCCTGAAGGCTGGAAGCAGTCCAGAAAACAGTGAAGCATTATCAGGACACAGTTTCTGCTTCTTTGGCACCGAGTGCCTTGAAGTGCTCGGGCAGCTGGGAAGACGAGGGGGAGGGTGGTAGAGCGAGGGAAGAGCAAGAGAGAGAAAGGAGGGGTTACCCCTATAGGACCATTTGTGATGAGGCTCATTTGCACAACGGCACTTAATTGGCTACAACAATTAATTAATGTGTTGGAAAGTTGGCACAAAAAGTTCATTTAAGAGGGTTTTAATAAGCAATTAGGGAGAAGTAACCAGTGAGGTAGAAGCAACCGCAAAAAAAAAAAAACGATGCTGAAAACTCTGAAAGTACAAACTCCAGCGTGGACTTTTTGGGAATAATGTGCCATATCTGGAAACCAGGATGTGGTTTCCTATTATGGGTAGTTACGGCGCATCCCATTGTGAGCGCTGATGACATTAAAATACATTATTTTTACCCCATACTTTTACAACCCCAACTGTTCATGGCACCCACTTTCCAAAAACAGCATTGTCTCGTCTCCCCTTCGTTCTCCCTCCCACTGTCTGCCTCCCTCGCTCGTTCTCACTCTGTGTATGAAATATCGCATGACTAATGAGTGGAGCAGGTTGAAATCCTGGGGAAGATGTCCTTGGAAGACGAATGCATTTTCAGCAGAATAATTAACTTAATTAACAAATTCACATGCATATTCATCAGCCTATTAATGTCTCCTCTGTGCAGCTTGATGAGCAGTGGGGTAATAACCATCTCATTTGCATAGCCTGTTCACACGACTCTCCGTTTAAAGACAAAATAAGGGAAGGAAGAGCGCAGGAGGAAGAAGGAAGAGAGAAACTGGAAAAGGAGACAACAAATAGAAGACAAGGGAGAGGCTCAGCAGGCTAACGTTCAGAGGTGAGGAAGTGACGTGTGCTGTTTGGAAAGAGGCTCCCAGTTTATCTGATGGATGGGTGACACGAGGAGGGACGGCCAGTATGAGCCCCAACAGATTGACTCCTTCTCCCTCTTTCTTTCTCCTCATCCCTCCAGTCAACCTTGTAAACCATCGTCCCCCTCCTGCTGTTCATCACCATTTCCCTGCATCCATGCCATAATGTTCTAGCTCCTCAAAGCAGAAATAAGTGCTCCTTTTGGTTTTTTTCATGACCCCTCTTAGCCCGAAATCCAAGTTACGAGGCAGTAATGTCAGAATTGAAATGTTTGTCTTTCAGATTGTTCAGTGGAAAACAGACGATCATATCAGCGTGCCCTCTCCATGTTTCTCTCCCTCTCTGTCTGTCTCATTCTCTCCTTCATAGAGTCTCTCAGGGGGAATCTTCTTGGCATTGCTCCACTCCTTTCTTCTCCACTGCCAGGCTGCTGCTGCCGTCTCTACTCTGTTACCACTGTCTGCACACAACCTGGTGCTCCTAGCAACGCCACCTCTCTCGCGCACACTCCACATGGCGGTCCGAATGGCATGTGTGTTTGCACCGAACACACACACACACACACACCTCGTGTTTGCCGAAGGTTTACCGCCGCTCTTATATTTGTGTCTGTCGTATCATAAATCCTCGGTCTACAGCGTGAAAGCTGAGTGTTTATTCTGCCACTTCAAAAGAAAACAAAAGGAAAACGTCAAATTCAATAATCCATTATGCTGTCACGACTTCTGATTGGCTGTCTGTTCCAATTTGGAGGAACCGGGTCTCAGTAGAATTCACATACTTTTGTTTCAGCCAGAGCAATATTATTTACTAGTTTATACAAGACCATCTTTATTAGGCTTTATTCCCTTTATTGCTCTGAAATCGCCTCTTTTATTATGAAATAAATTAATAACTTTATGAATTAGGCAGCTGCATTTTAAATCACATCTAAATGACATCTTAAAATAGGCTTTATTGGACATGTTTTCATTTTTACTCCCATTTTTCCTGCTTCGTGATGCAGTTTTGCGTCTCTTATGGGGTGCTTCTGCTTAATGTTGTGTACTTGTATCCGTGGTCTGTTGTCATGGTAGGCTGCTTCCAGCACAGTGTGCGTTTTAGTCTGAAAGTTTTGTCTGATTTTCCATTTTCTTATCTGCATCATCTTAAAAGCATCAACATCTTTACAGAGTGTTGATGTTGTTCCTT